GCTGTCTAAAAAAGTTTTACCTGGATCACGTTTCACAGCTGCGTTGTTCAGCAAATTACCATGCGAATGCGATTTGAATACGCGCTGTTTAGCACTTGTGATACATTTTTAAAAGCCGGGGAATATATATAATATTCAAATGTATATCGAAATATCGGAAATGTGTTTAAAAATCGTATCACCGTTATCGAAAAAAATTATATCGCGATATATATTGATATCGAATTATTGTCCAGCCCTAGCTACAGTCCAGGATCCCTGCCTGAGGTCCACAAGGCGTTCTCCCAGGCTGCGTCCCACAGCAGTATGGTTGAAAATCTCTTTGAATGCAGCCTGGAATTCCCACGCTGAATCCAGCAATGGATTGTTGTCAGTCCATAGCGCAGTGGCCCAGTCGCGTGCACGTCCCGTGAGCAGCGATATGACAAAGCGCAACTTAGCTGTGTCCTCCACGAATCGATCAGGGTGTTCCTCCATGTATAACCCGCACTGCATTAGAAAAGCGTTGCAGTGATCTGGGTTGCCTTCGTACTTTTCAGGCATCGCCACTGGGACCGGAGCAGAAGCCCACGCAGGAGAGTACGGTAGCTGAGCTTGGGAGGCTTGTCTCTCCTTGAGTTGGGAGACCAGAGTGGTGAGCTGGTCGACCTGCTGCTGGAGACGGTGGTTCTCTGCGGGGTCCATTCTACTATGGCGAAGTATTCTGTGATGCTCAGAGAGAATGAATGAAGCAGACCTCGAAATGCAGTGGCCAGCAGGTTTATGGAGGACACCGAGGGTAAACAAAGTTGTAAGGGCAATCCAAAAGAATCGTCGAAAGGCAAGCAGTAGTCGTTCACCGGTGAGATCAATCCTACACGATGACACGAGACAGGACGATGACAGGATCGGAGAGACAGGATCGACAGGACAGCAGGGCAGGACGGAGTGGGCAGGAAGGGCAGGCAGCACAGCAGGGCAGGACACAGCAGGCAGGATGAGTAGGGAAGACAAAAGACAGATTAATTGCTCGGTACGGCTCATCAAAATGGCAACAATACTTCGTACCGGATCCCCGGTGTTTCCGCCTTAAGAAGGGGAACGATTAGTTAATTGCTTCAGGTGGTTGGTCCCGCCCGTGTGGGCGTGACAGGGTGCTAATCTATGTTTTAGGTGCTAGTCCAAGCAGACCCAGAGGCCACAACAGCAGCCACAAACAACAGTGTATTTATGATCATTATTTTCATATTATACTTATATTTGTATATTATATTTAGATTTCTTTTAGAATTTATTCTTTTGGTAGACTATTGGGCCATTCTTTTTATCACATGAATAGAATTATAACAAAACTAAAATATCATTGGTATGTCATTAGGAGTTGATGGCCAGAAGAGCTCTGATAGCAGCGCAGGATGAGTACAGCTACTCCCTTGAAGTGGATAGAGCCAGGGTAGGAACATATAGGCTCTGTTATGATTATATTTTTGTGAGTTATGAGTTTTGTGTGTATTTTAGTTAAGTGCATTTAAATATTTATAGGAAATTAGAAGAAGACAAGTTTTTGAGCTGGAGGGAAGACGCAGAGGTACATTGTTTTTCCATTATCACAAATATAGTAGTTTCTCATTGCATTCTGTCAGAAGAAATGTAATTTATTCACAGGCATTTCTTATCAACTAATTAAATGCTCATTTTATAAAATAGTGGACAGAAGAAATTACATAAATGCAGTGCCTGAGATAACAGATGGGTTCATAATCCAGCTGAAGTACTCAGATGGAAGGATTCAAAAGAGGAGCTTTTCATCATCACAGCCTTTTCAGGTATGCTTTTACTGATCTCTTAGATTTCAAATTAGGTTGTCCACAACACCACTTGGAAATCTCACTTACTTCATGATCCAAGTGATAAATACATTTATTAAGCAAAGACAGTGGTCAAATAAATTCTTGATTAGCGGGACAAATTTACAAGCTGACAAATCAGTTAACATGCCTCATCGGAGAGACAATATGATCACATTTTTTATTCTTAAAAGCACAATATTTTTGGTATTAACATGTTCTTTTTATTTTTAGGATTTGGTGGCCTTTGTAGGTATGGATGAGATGGCTAGTGAAATATTTTCATTACAGCCAGCCATGTCATCAAATCTATTACTTAGCACCTTGTCAGGTACTATTTTGAACCAAGGTATCAGCAGTCCACAAACCCTGTTTGTGCTTTGGATGTCTGGTGATGAAGTACTGGTATGTACAGTTCCTCTTTAATATCCTCTGAATTTATATCTTTCGGAAAATGAAGTGTGTTATAATTTTCTTTTTTAACAGCAAATGTTGACGGAGCAAGAGAAAACTACCTCTGAATAATTTTATTCGTCCAGTCTAACCTCCTTTACTCCAAATTTGCCTTCTACTGTGGCCATTACAGATGATAGAACGTCTCCACCATCTGCTTCTTCTCATGATATTCCTTCTGTCCCTCAAATTTCATATGAACAGAGCATTAATTCCACAGCCCACATCACAATTCCCATATCTTTTAGTCTGTCCTCTCCCTCCCCTACTCGGAGTAATTCTCCCCACCCTGACAGTCTGTCCTCATCTACTTTACATCATTGCAACCAAATTAGTTTGCCCTTATTGGGACCTCCTGCTCTTACACTTGCAGCAGAAGGATGTTCTACAATGGAAAGTCCATCCACATCAGAAGAGTAAGCCATGAATTTATTTCATTAATGTATGCCCAGCGTACTCACATATTTTAAGCCTTAATTCATTGTATATTGGAGTGGAGTTTAACATAACACATACAGCTACAAAAAGAATTTCTTTGTAATGTGTGCCACACTTACATTTTTTCTCAACTTTTTAACACGCTTGATGTGTCAGTCCTACTGAGAAATCTACACTCTCAAATAGATATGGGAAATTGCCCGACACACAATTTGATAAATGTGTGTCGTGATGATATAATGGCATGTGCTGTGAGAGCTTTGGAACGCCCTCTGTTCAATCCACTGAAGAAGATTGACATCATGTTTGTGGATGACTGGGAAATGTCTGAGGGTGCTGTTGATGATGGAGGACCAACCAGGGAGTTCTGTAGGCTATTAATGCATGCCATAAAAGACTGGATCTTTGAGGGGCCTGAAGAGGAGAAAACCTTTCCTTGGATTCAAGTGGTAAGAGGAACAAATACAGTCATTTTGTAAATGAAATCACATTGCAGTTTCACCATCTGTAACATGGTCATTGTGAAAGGGTTCAATAATCAGTGTTGGGGAGAAAAGGAATACATGTAACGGGGTTACCTATTTAGAATACAAAATACGAGTAACTGTATTCCGATACAGTTACAATTTAAATAGATGGTAATTAGAATACAGTTACATTGTTACCCAGATACTTGTTCAGTCTTTTGTCATCTCCCGCTTTGACTACTGCAACTCGCTTCTAAGCGAGTTTGCCACTGAGTGCCATTCGTCCTCTCCAACTGATTTAGAATGCAGCTGCTTGACTTGTTTTGAACCTTCTCAAGTTCTCTCACACCACTCCTTTGTTGCGCCCCCTCCACTGGCTTCCTGTGGCAGCCCACATCAGATTCAAAACACTGATGCTTGCATACAAAGCCAAAAATGGTCTGGCACCATCCTACCTAAAAGGTATCATCACACCCCGCACTGCACCACGATCTTTCCGATCCTCCAGCACTGCTCAACTGGTCCCACCACCTCTCAAGGCACAAGGAAAACACCCATCTAGGCTCTTCTGGCACCTAATTGGTGGAACGAACTCCCCCTAGATGTCCGATCAGCTGAGTCATTGAATGTCTTCAAACGACGACTTAAAACTTACCCCTTTCGGAAACATCAACCTCTATTTACCAGCCACCAACTTACTTTCTGCGTCCAAAAACTCCAATTCCAACCTAAAGAAACATCCTGAAGTAAGTTATTTTTTTGTGTGGCTAAAGTGAGCTTGTTAGCTTGCCTGTCCTAACCCTTTATAGTTATAGTCAAGTGGCCAATTGACAATGTGCTATATGCTAACTATGGCTATTTACCATGCTGTCAAGCAAACGTTAGATCAAAGGCTGTAAAATCCATGCCATTAGCTTCGTGTATTATGCAATTTCGAGACTACAAACAATAAAGGTTGTCTACTGCTGGCATTCATGTGTAGTGCTGTTTACATATTTAATGTTTCTGCATACTTTTCTGTATGCATGCATGCTCTTGTTGAAAAGTATAGTCTAATGATACCACTTTGCTACCAAACTGATATAGGATAATACTTTATGGCAGTGCTTTCACTGAGCGATGAACAGGACATGTTAAAAGGCAGGAGTACCAGGCTGAGCTACTTCATGTCCGGGTTATAGAAATTGAGGCGGATAAGGAGGTGGCACTGAGGAGGATGAGCACGGCTGAACAAAAGCCCGTGCCCCTTCCACAGAAGGTACACTCGCCGAGTATGACCCCTCATGCAGGCCTGCCCACCCGTGACCAAGCTGGTGCCCCAGACTTTCCTCGTCCTAGCCTTTGTTCTCCTGTAGGTCCACCAGTCTCCCAGGGTATTGAAAGTGGGCATTCGGGATTTGACGTCAGTTGTCATATCGGGCTTGTTCCTCTGTTCCAGGAAAATGAGGTGGATGCCTATTTTTCCATTTTCGAGCGCATTGCTACGACTTTGAACTGGCCTAGGCATCTCTGGTCACTGCTATTACGGTGCAAGTTAGTGGGTAAGGCGCAAGAAGTATGTTTGGCCCTAGCATTAGAGCAGAGCCTAGACTACGACATTGTGAAAGCTACTGTCCTAAGAGCTTATGAACTTGTACCCGAAGCTTACAGGCACAGCTTCCAGAAGCTTAGTAAATCCCCCAGCCAGACCCATATGGAATTTGCCAGGGAAAAGTCAACCCTGTTTGAAAAGTGGTGTACCGCCAGTGTGTTTAACTTTGATCAGCTCAAAGAGTTGTTATTGTTAGAAGAGTTTAAGAACTGTGTTCCTGATAGGGTTGTGGTGTACTTAAACAATCAGAAGGTAGCTTCTCTGACTGAAGCTGCTACCCTCACAGACGAGTTTGTGCTAACGCATAGGACTGTGTTCACCCCGACTCCGCTACCCCGAAAAGTTCATATCCATTCGGTATTGTCCTCTCCCACGCCTGCTTCGTCTGCATCACCTGTGGAGAAATGGGAATGCTTCTACTGTCACGAAGTAGGTCACATCATTTCCGTCTGCCTGGCCCTTAAACATAAGGATGCCCGTGTTGCGACTAGGAAGATGCAGATCGATGCTTGTATAGACTGTGCTTCACCACTAACCCAAGAGGTGGAGCCTGCCTTCCAACCTTTTATATTCTCTGGATTGGTTTCGCTCAGTGAGACTGATGTGCGACACCCTGTGACTAGACTGCAGGATACAGGTGCTGCCCAGTTGTTCCTGGTGGAAAGAATTGTCCCTCTTTGTGATATGTCGTATTGTGGTACTGATGTGTTGGTGCAAGGCATTGATTTGTGTGTAGTGGCTGTTCCTCTACACAAGGTATACCTGAGTAACCCCGATTTCTCGGGTTTTGTACGTGTTGTGGTCCAGACGCACCTACCCGTTCCGGGAATTTCGTTTATTCTGGGGAATGACATTGCAGGGGAAAGAGTTGTTCCTCTGCCCGAGGTTGTTCCCAAACCCATGGTATGCGCAAATGATGTTCTTGTGGAATATCCCAAGGTATTTTCGGCCTGTATTCTCACACGTGCCAAACGGTGTAAGCTCTCAAATATCGACAACAACAACAAACAAACAAATTTATTTTTGTATAGTACATTATCACAACATTACATCGTCTCAAAGCGCTTTACAGCATCCCCACCCAAAGCCCCCAGTGAGTAAGCTATAGGCGACAGTGGCAAGGAAAAACTCCCTAGAAGGAAGAAACCTTGGGAGGGACCAGACTCAAAGGGGGAACCCATCCTCCAGGGGCCAGCAGTCAAATACAGTAAATTTTGAGACACAAACGGGGAGCAGGGGGGGAGATGGCAAGCTGGTGCCAACGTTCCCTCCAATCACCAGGCAACCAGAAGGCAGGGAGCGGGTCATACAAGGAAGATGACACAGGCAGAATGGCAAGCTGGATGCAAGGACATCATTGGTAGAGGCGACGTCACATGTAGCAGGGTGTGCTGGGCATCTTGATAGATTTAGGGCTCCAGGCAGCACCTCCCAGGAGAAGTAGGGGAAATAAAATAAAGCTGCCATGGAGCAATCTTTCCAAGCTGGGGAAAGCGTTCTTGTTTTACTCCCGTTGTCCGGTTCCTCCCTCCGTGCTCGGTTCTCGGGTCCATACATTATACAATCCCAGCTGAGCTCTACCAATTATGTGATAAAGACCCCAAACCGCAGGAGGAAGTCCCGGGTTTGTCATATAAACATGTTACAACCTTACCTCGATTGCTCGGTTTCCGCCCCATCGTCCGTCTCTGCTCCGATCCCCACTCCTGTAGGGATGGTGTCAATCAGTGGGTATTCGCCGAAGGATGATGATTTGTATTTAGGGAAAAACTGTTTACCTTGGGCTCACCTACCGAATTCAGAATTTCTTCAGACCCTTTCAAGCTGGCTAACTCACCTCTTTCCACCCAAACTGACATCACATCCCTTGTGAAAAGATTTTGATCTCTATTTGTAGATACCCCTTTGCGCACTTCTGTTGTGGAACATGATATAGATGTTCCTGGTCATGTCCCTATCAAACAGCACCCTTACCGTGTCAGCCCGCATAAGCGATCCTTGTTATCCCAGGAAACTAGTTATTTGTTGAAAACCGGCTGTACCCAGTTGTAGTCCCTGGAGTTCTCCGTGTTTACTTGTCCCCAAATCTGATGGTACATCCTGTTTTTGCACCGATTACCGAAAGGTAAACTCGGTAACCAAACCAGATGCTTTCCCACTTCCATGCATGGAGGATTGCATAGATCGAACCGGGTCTGCCAAATTTGTATCTAAACTAGATTTGTTGAAAGGTTATTGGCAGGTTCCGCTCACCCCTCACGCTTCAGAAATCTCCGCTTTTGTTACCCCTGACGTATTCCTCCAGTACACTGTCATGCCCTTTGGGTTACGTAATGCCCCAGCCATCTTTCAGCAGCTGATGCAGAAAGTGCTTGTTGATGTCCCAAACTGTGAAGCTTATTTAGATGACATGGTTATTTACTCCGATTTGTGGGAACAACACCTGCAGTCCTTATAACAAGTTTTCACTCGTTTGAGGGATGCTTCGTTAGTTCTTCACTTCGAAAAATGTGGCTTCGGACAGGGTACAGTCAGCTATTTAGGGAAATTAGTGGGTCGTGGTATGGTCAAGCCCCTGGACACCAAAGTCCAGGCTATCCGCTCATTCCCCATTCCGAAAACACTACGCGAGTTGAAACGGTTCTTGGGGATGGCCGGGTATTACAGATTCTTCTGTCGAAATTTCTCAGATGTTGTGATACCTCTTACCCAATTGCTCCATAAGGGCATACAGTTTGTATGGTCCCCAGCCTGTCAGGCTGCCTTTGATTCGGTTAACCCTTTGGTCTTTTTTGCCCCAGATGTGTAACATGCACCATAAAAAGGGCATCAATAACCTAGTGGCAGACACCCTCTCCAGGGGCCTCATGTATAAATGGTGCTTACGCACAAAAATATTGCGCACGCCCGTTTCCACGCTCACGTCGAGATGTATAAAAACTAAACTTGGCGTACCGCTACGCACATTCTCACGGCAACCCCAGACAAGGTGTACGCAAGTTTCTGCTCGATTTGGCAAAATGGAGGCACCTACTGGCAAAAGAGTGCTACTGCAGTTTCACTGTGTCAGACTCGCATTCATGATGCGGTCTGCATGAAATACACTGAAATTAATTAAAACGGTGCAGGGAAAGACAAAAAATATTCCAACCATGGCTACGCTTGCATTGTTAGAGGACATTGCAAATGGAAGGGTCAGAA